AAAGAAACACGTTCTGCTGCAGGTGGATGTTCCTGGATGACCAGAACCTGTGCATCCAGACCAGCTCCTCCTTCGTCTACGGCGCCGTGCCCATTGGCGCCAGTATCTACGTGGTGGGGGACCTGGACACAGGTCGGTGAAAACATTAAATAAAGCTCTCCTGGGCTTTCAGGATGTTCAGTGTTTGATCCTGTTACCCTCTCGCTTCCTTTGGTTGCAGGCACAAACTTTGACTACATCCGGGAGTTCCGGCGCACCACCGGGACGTGGCACCGCACCAAGCAGATGTTACCCAGCGACCTTTCCAAAACGGCCTGTGCCAACTTGCGCATCGCCAACTGTCGACTGTTCCGCCTTCAGCTGAGTCAGGGCATGTTCCGGATCCGAATCTGACCCGAGACAGCAGCCGGACGCTCTGTCCCGGCTGCACGTGTCTCCACTTTTGCACACTGGTACGCTCTATCTGCTGTAGGTCTGAGTTTATATACAAACACTAAAGCGCTGTAGTCACTACGCTTTGAAGATCTCGACTCCAGTCATTGGTTTATACTCACGACCCTTTTGATGTATATTTATTGTATGACCAAACGGGATAGACTTTAATCTGAACACATTTTATGGGTTTTATGACATTTTTCTTATCTAAATCTATTTTCTTTGAAGTGTGGGATCCTTTTTTTACAACTTTCTTTTAAAGGCTCATTTTGAATGCTTTCTGGTTCCCGGTTACTTGGCGAGGGATTCATTATACACCAGTCACTACCCCTTTATTACACGAGAAATCACGCTGCACAGTTTTTGCAGAGACAGCGAGGCCCGCTGTGGTGCCGCTTTATTAAAGGATCACTCTAGATCATTTCAAGGCTGCAAATATCCCATTATTATCACCGTTATGACGTTCCAGTTCATGATAACTTTGCACACGTCACCTTGTGGTAGAGATACGAGGGAAGGATGAGTCGCACGTGAAAGCAAAGTGAAAAGTTGCAGCAGGAATCAGCTGCCTTTTTGGTAAATGCATTAGACACTTGCCAGCTGACTCAGTCACATGCATATTAAGCCTCACACGCTGGTTTGTTTTACGTGTGTGTGGATGGATAATGTTCTGTTTGGCATGTGCTGGTCACAGCAAAAACTGTGTTCTGCTGCTGCAGTTCTCGATGCTCGTGCTAAAGTTCAGAGAAGCCACGGGCGGCTGGCTAAGGTAGCTAAGCTGATGCTAATTGTTAATCATTGCTGTTACGGTGATCCCACCAGCAAACACGC